TCTGAGAGATCTTGGCTGTCTGAAATATTTTTATATTAGCGCGAGATAATTCCGCCATAATGTATACTCTATATTGTTTAATAAACAACACACAGCTCAGTAATAAATAGTTTTGAATTGTGCTTTATCAAAGATGTAAAACTCGTTCTCTGTAACGTACAGTGCGCAACTAATATTATTTTATATTCTATATACATAGCACTAATCTTATTTTATATATATGGCATTCGTGAGAAACTTAATCAAAAGTTACCTAAAAACTTTTGCGTAGAGAAGATCCTCTCTACGGTTTACACTGAAAAACAGCTTAGTAGCGATTCAACTATTACAGATATGGCTAATGTCCGGTATTAGGTGCCCTCTGTCGTTAGGGGAACTCCCCCTATAAATAATTTGAATGAGAAAATAGTAATATTTATTTATATTGTATTTATTAGATTGCCTTCGGCAATTTAATTGTAATATTACATATTACTTGGTTCGGAGTTACGGAGATGCACGCAATTTGCGGCCATGTGGTGTTATAAGAACCGAAAATTGTAAGATTTACACTAATATTATATGGAAGCACCAAGATCCGCTTTGTACCGTTGTTGGCGTTTTAAGTTCTCAATTATTAGTTAACATTACACGGTCTTTCCTGATGCTCATTTAAAATTAAAGAATTACAAGTTTTGACATTGCATACACAATTAAATTAATTAAATAAAATGATTAAATCATATTGCTAAATGCGGCAAAAAAACAGAAATAATACAACCAATTTAGAATAAATAACAGAAAACATATTTTAAATCTTAAATATCACATTTTTAATCATGATGTTATTTGTTCGTGTTACTGCACGAAAAGACGAAATAAACGAATAGCTTCTATAAAAGTTTTCGACACATAAAAATTTATAATTAAAAATTCTACAATAAATTTCTTTGTTCGTATAAGTATGAGTCTCATTTCTTGCGTCTTATCTATCCTCTCATATTTTGATAATAATACCGAATATACCGATGTATACCGATGTATACCGATTCTTTTCTATTATTCTGAGACAACCAATGATCAGTATTATAACTGCTTCATTTAGTCCCAATATTAATATTTGCGCTTTATTTATTTTTTAAAGAAATATTTATTTTCCAACTAACGCGTTTACATCATTTACGAACTCTCGCATTAGTTTGTATTAAATTGCACAAATTACTTCATTAACGTTTTACTATTTATTATTTTATTCATGGCATTTTAATATAAATTTTCAATTTTTTTAAAGGTTTCGTATCTGCGACTTGCCTCTAAAAGCTTCTTCAACCTGTGCTTTTGTCTTCCCTCGTGTCTCCGGTAACGCAACCGTTAGAAAAACAGTAGCTATGATAGCTGTTATGCAGTAAAAGTAAATGGTGGCATTTCTGTTAGTCGTTACCATTAATGGATACAATTGTATAGCAACATAGTCATACGAAAGAGCCAAGATGGTGGTGAGTATCCCAAGAACGTTTATGTACTTGGTGGGATATAGTTCCGGAATCATCGACCAAGGAATTGAAAAAAATCCAAATGCTCCAAATGCCTGCAATTTTATAGATTAATCATAAACTCTATGCTGTAGTAAAGCTCTATGCTGTAGTAAACTCTAGCTGTAGTAAATATAAATTAACAACTCTTTTCAAGAATCTATAATATCTAAATCATTCAATCTTTGTGAAATTTAGACTTCTGTCGAAGTCATTATAATGATTAAAAAAAAATTTTAACAAGAAATTACAAGAACTGTTAACTTGAAATTACTTAACAAGAACGGTTATCAATATATTACAGTTATTCTTAGAAATGCCCTTACCACATAAAGAAGGATGCAAATGAAGGGTATAACCACAACGCCAGTGTCTTCAAAAAATTGCAGATACACTGCTAAACCGCCCAAAGAGATTGATATGCCAACACCGGAGATAATTGAAATTAATCGACGACCAATCCTAGTAGAATTTTGAAGTTTATTATAAATGATTTTCATATTATAAGTTTAATTATTATCAGTTCAAACATTACATTGTAACGTGTATTCGACAATTATATTTTAATAGTGTAATAGTATTTTAATAGTGTGATCGATATAGATTACTTATATTAATAAAGGTTTTGACAGAGAAAATAATAGCATTACGATATAAGTTGAAATTAAAACATTCAACACAGATATCATATTTAAGTTTATGCTGATTATATACTGTCCGACAAAATTTAATTTTTTTTGCCACAAAAATTTGAATAGTTATTATTAATATATTTGTTTTTATTAAATACAAATTCATTGTCCAAATTTCGCTATCACGTCATATTTTTTAAAAAAAGGGCGTAAAATAAGTAAAAACGATTTTAAAGATTTCCATGACGTTGTAGCATTGGCCATGTGAAAATACGAACTTTCACTTTTGAAATGCTTTTCGTTTTGATATGATTCTTTGTTTTCGAGGTATAGGGAGAGATGGTGATCCTTCGTACACGGGGCACATACATACATTCAGTGATTTTCGGGAAGAATCGCGCAGATTCAGAGCACGTCGCTATACATATTTAGTTAGTCTTATTACGCGGCCACAAGCCAGCAAAATTTCATTTTAGTCTGTTTACTACGTAAACTGACAGAGCAGGATATTACATGTTTTAGCGCTGTCTGAGTAAATTTTCCAAAGTATTTGAGTACAAGTAATTTAAGTTATCTTTCATTAAGGTTATAAACAAGAACAATATTCTTTTAGTAAGTAAAATGTCTTAAAATTATACTTTAATCATTAATTTTATCGTATTGTTAGTGAATTTTATAAAAAAATAGCGTAATTAGTTTTTTTGAATTTGGGATAGATTTGTACACAAGCATGAGGGCATCTTTCGTATATGTATACATTATTTTGTTACTTAAGTAAAACAATTATTTTAGTTAAATGTTTGAATTTTGATCGCAATGTTGATTTAAATATTGATTTAAAGGAGTTTATTAGATCGGAAGAGCACACGTCTG